TAAAAGGCATGGGAAAGTACAACAAATGCAAAAGGATAGCCGGATAGAGTTAATGCTAACAATCATGAAAATTAAAAATGGGACTGCTCTTAAATTAATGCAACGTGAAAGTAGAGTAAGAACACATGAAAAATAGGAGAATAAATTAAATATCATTGATCAAGAAAATTAAAAAGGCATGGGAATAGGGAAGGATAGCCAGATGGAGTTAATGCTAATGATAAGGAAAATTTGAAAATAGGACTGCTCTTAAATCAATACTCTTATGAAAGTAGATTGAAAATACATGAAAAATAAGAAAATAAATTAAATCTTATTAATGAACCAAGAGGAATTTTCATACTAACATTAGCCTAAAATTTATTAACCAATGATAGTCAATTTTTTTAACCAAACAGATTGAAACTATGAGATTCGAATTCTTTAGGAAGTATGTGGATGAACTTGACATCCACTTCCTAACATGGCTAGAAAGAGGCATAAAACTCCTCCACCTGGCTGCCTAACTTTCCACCATCAACAACAAATCCATTTTAGAAGAATGGCTAATTAATCATCAATTATGGCTATGAGAGTAGAGACGCACTACAAAAGAACAACTGATTAGTGATGGAAAATTCTGTCGTTATCAGTAAAAATTCCATCGCCCAACGGGGTTAGCGACGAAATATTTTCATCAGTAAGACACTTGTCACTAATTCATTAGTGACGGAATGCATTCTATGGCTAAATAAGGATAAGCTATTTTGACTTTACAACGGAATGCAGTCCGTCACTAAATTTTTAGGTGGATCAAAACATCATTACCATATCACTTGATAAACTAATGCCACTTTACTATCGCCTTATCACTCAATGGACCAGTGCCACCTCAGCACCACATCACCACCACCTCATCATCACATCACTGCCACCTCATTTGTTACTGCCATCTCAAATATTATTTCCTGCAATTGCACCTTGGCCAAGTTCAAACTCACAACCTCACACCCCTTAGTGCCTTTACTTCTACCTTATTGCCACGTGAGCTAAAAGAAATCCTCAATTTGAATTGATAAATTAATACATAATACGTAACTGCACCACTATATATTAATAAATATATTATTAAAATTATTATAATATAGTATTTAAATTTACTTATTTTTTTAACATTGTATTTATTTATTAATATGGAAAATTAATTTATATATAATACTATTTCTATTATATTTATTTAAAAAATTAATTTTGATAATAAATTTAATATTAAATTGAAAAGTATTTTATTATCATTATATATTAGATTATATTTGCATCTATGTAATATAGATATTTTAAACTTTTAGATTTTATTTTTTTAATTATTTTATTTTATTTTTCATTTTTAAAATAAGAATATTTAAACATACAATTTAAATTATTATTAACAATATTCAAATCATATAAATAATAAATTATTTTAAATTATTTTTAAATTATTTATTTATAGCATAATAATAAATTATTAAATAAATTTATATAAATATATATTAAAATAACAAAAGTAATTAAAATAATTTGTGACAGAATTAGTGATAGAATTATGACAAAAAATTTTGTGACGGCATTTTCCATCACAAATTCCGTTATTAAATTAAAATAAGATATGTTAAAGGTTAGCAATGGAATTTTCCTTTAGTAAATTCTGTCGGTAAATTATTTCTGATGAATTAATGATGAAATAATGATAGAACTTTAGCGATGAAAAATTTTGTCACTAAATTAGCAATAGAAATTTATTCTGTCACTAATTCACTATTTTTTTTATAGTGAGTATGCAAGATATTCCTATATTGCGAATAGAAACTCTCTAATGGGACTTGAGAGCATGAGAAATAGCATAATTAATGCTTCTATGATAGATGACTCAAGAAAAATTTAAAATATAATTTAATGCTCCTATCCCATGAAAGATAAAAATCAATTAAAATAAATGAATAAATAATTTGTCAACCAATTAGAAAAAATATTCAATCACATCAACCAATGAAATAGTAATATCAATATTAGACTAAAATTAAATTGATTATACAAAAATCAATGGACTAGTAGGATAGAATAATTAACATTTGTGAAAAAATTACCTTCATTCAACAAGATTTGTAGATATATATTGATGATGATGATGATGATTAATGCTCCCGTCTTGTGAAAAGGTAAAATTAATTAAAATAAATTAAATTTTGTAAACCAATAAAAAATTATTCAATTAAATCAATCAAAGAAATAGTAATATTAATATTAGACTAAAATTAAATTGATTATATAAAAATTAACGGACCAATGGGATAGGATAATTAATATTATATTAATGTATGTTGAACAATGGGAGAGAAGAAATTTCTGACCAATCACCTTCATTCTACAAGATTTGTAGATATATATTGATGATTGATTGCTTGATGATGATATTGATGATTCATCAAAGCTAAGGAAAAAAACAAAACACAAAGACCACCCAATGATTTTGAAAACGGCAAGGGTTAGTCTCAGGAATTCCTTATTTAGTAAAAACAAGTATACAGATAAAAACAACCAAAAAAAAAAAACTTAATCGTCACCCAAAACAAAGCACCTAGAGATCCACGTTGCCCATTGCCTATATTCCACTACAATTTACAGATAAACAAACCAAAGAAAAAAGTCATCTTCATAAACTCTAAAGGGAAATATCACCTAAAGACCCATGTAGCTTTTTAAAGACCTTAATACCCCTGTTAAGTGAACATAAAACATAGCTGAATGAATTTCCATTTGTTACTGACATATGATTACTTGTCAATATGAAATGGTTGCTTATTTACTTAAGACCAACATTTGCACAATTATTACATATTGTATCAATTTTTTTAAGTTATTCATGAATGAATGTGTGCTTATTATTTACAAGTGTTAGCTCTGGATAAACAAGCAACTATGTGAATATTGATAAGTAAACATACGTAAATAATAAGCACCTAGTTGTTAATGAACAAAACTTAGAAAAATTAATATGACATGTTTAATTATCCAACTGGTGGTCTTGAATAAACAAAAAACCACTCAGATTTTATCAAGTAATTATACATAAGTAACAAGCACCTATTTGTTTATGAATTACTTAGAAAAAATATAGGACATGTAATAATTATACAAGTGTTGTTCCTAAATAAACAAGCATTCGAGTATGAGCAACTACCTATATATTATTAACAAGTGAATATTCATTCAGATGTGTTTCCCAATAACTTAACAGGGATCATTAGGTCTTTTTCCTTCTAACTATTATTTTTAGTCGAATCCAGGGTATAGTAATATTTCCGAATTAGCGTTCTCGGTTATTAAAAAGGTAATGGTCCTTAGGTAATATTTTTCCCATTTTCGATAGCATATAACTTTGAGCCTCTAGTTTTCAAATTTTCGGCTAGTTGCCACCACGACGGACCCACGTTTATGTTTGTAGCCAAAAGAAAATTATGCAAGATGACCCCATGAAATATTAGTTCTCTCCTTAAAAAAATTTTAATTTTGCCTACCACTTAAAAAAAATCACTGGCCTCCTTAAAAAAATCCACTTTTCCCATTAAAATATTCGTAATCTAGAATTTTATCTATGTACTATAACCTTAAGTAACAACAGTTTTGAAATGGAAAAGAAATACTTTAGAAAAATTAACTTGTTTATAAAAAATTTGTAAAAAAAATTTCTTCCATGCAAAAGACTGAAAGAGGGTATATGTTTGAAATAAGATGAGCTGACAATATAAATTATCTCCCGCAAGGCACTAAAAGTAAATGGTAGATTATATTTGTCAATTTATTTATTTATTTTAAGAATAAATTATACCTCCACTAATTCAATTTTCTAGGTTTATCCCTGCTCATGACCGACTTCACTTTTTCTGTGTCAACAATTTTTTTTTTAGCTAAAGGGCAAATTTGCTATTAAATATTTTTTTTTTTGTCAGATGCAACTAATATCGTTAACTTTTAATTGGCTTAATGTTACCCCCAAAATTTTAAAATGGCACAATGTCACCCTCATATTAAAGTTTGACTCTGAACAATTTTGCCAAGAGTGAAAGAAAAATTTTGTTCAGAAAATTTTTCTGAATGAGTAATTTGTATCATAAACTTTAAATTACTGCAATATTTTTGGTTTATAATGTTCAAACCAGAAGTGAGATTCAACAAATAGTTATCAATTGTTATCAAATTTTTCTGAAGGCCATATCCAAGGTTGACTAAACGCAAGACTAACTTTATACAATAAGCACACGTTACGGACTTTCTCCTAAGCAAAGTTAGGACTTGTCTTTATTTTACCCATGAATAAAGCATGTGTCCATGAGTAGGTTTAGGCTCAATCGTGAACAAATACAAACTTTCTCAAACATTTCCATGGCACATTGACTAGTCCAAGGTGAGAGGGATGAATCAAAGAGATTTGGACTGAATATTTGTGGATCATGGTAATAAGGTCATTTACCACTTTTAAAATAAATTTTCAAGATGCGTTGAAAATTAACCAGTAAAAATTCTGCAATTGACAGCAACACTTGCAAATTTTGACAACTCAATCTCTAGTTATTATAAATCGCAGTTTTGAAATATATTTTCAAGTTACCTTAAAAAACTAACGTATTAGAGTTCTACAATATAATTAACATCAAGTTTCACAAGTTTTTACAGGTCAATATATGAATTTTGAGTAAACAATGACTTGGAAGAAAAATATTTGTCAAAATTAGAATTTTTGTTATTAACATCTGAACACTTAGTTGTAAGCAACGAAACAACATCTTGCGTTTATCTCAGGGGTATTTTAGATTTTTTACATTATAATATGTTTTCGCTACGGTCTTATGGGTTTGCAGAAGAATTTAAGAATTATAAGGGCCCAAAGTGCTATTATCTTCATTGTGGGGCCGCTCAATGACAATCTCCCTCTTTCTTAAATTAATGTTTACGTCTTCACTTGGCCTATCTCTTAAGAATCTTTGGCATTGACTCTTTGGCTAAACAAATCTGCAGGGAGAAGTTGATGAAGCTCAGAGAAATCATTCATATTCAGGCCAAAATCGTCTTCCGCGTAAAGGTATGTACCAGCCCCCACTCTCTATCATCTATATATTTATTCATCTAAATCTTTCCAGTATCGAAAAATCTTTTAATTTCTTGTCACCATTTTGTGTATTTGATTCACCATCTTCAGCGTTTTCTCTTTAAAATGAAAAGAAAACACACACACACACACAGAGAGATTATAAGGACGAAGAACTTTCTGTTCTGATTAGTGATAAATCTAATGAATCTTAGTCTGCCAGCGCAGGATCGAAGTGGTAAAGATTGTTTTTTCTTTGTTTTTTTTCCCTGCTATAACAAGTAGTTGATTTTTAAGACCTATGTAACAGATGTATTCTATGTTATATGAAATAACATCCTTGATTCCTGCAACAAAAAAAAAATGAGGAAGAAATTAATGGTGAGGAAGTTGGACTATCTCATGGATAAAATAGCTTCTTTTTTGTTTTTTGTCTCAATAAATCCTAGTAAGCGTTTGGGCACGATGACCTCTAGAAGAATACTTTGGTGATGAACTATGGATTTTACTACCTTAAAATTTTGCTCCATTTATTTTTAGTTCTGAGGAAGAAATATTTATTTCTTGCGCACAATAGAGGAGCTTGAAGAGCTTGAATACCGAAGGCTTTCCTACCTGTAGTTTTCTACTTCTCTTTCTAGTAAAGCCATGGATTAAAGGTAAACTTGCCCTTAAACTGTAGAGTTAAGAGTGTCTAGATCTTAAATTCATTTTTTATACAATATTTCACTTTAACATTTTAAAATAACACAATATTGTCTCCATTATTAACAAATGTCAACTTTTGACTATTGCTTGATAAAAATATTACAGAAAATGATCTCAAAATTTACAAAAAATGCAATAATTTTTTTATCCTTTTCTGTAATTTTTTATATCCCTAAATGTAATTTTGGCATTTTTGTAATTTTTTTAGTTTTTTATAATTTTTTAATCAAGTAACGGTCAAAATTAATATTTGTTAAAGATAAAGATAATATTACACTGTTTTAAAATATTGAAGGGAAACATTGTAATCAAAAAATATTTTCTGATTCCAGAGGCTTTTGAATCTGTAGTTTTGAGCCAAATTTACCATTTAATCCAAATACAATTTTGTCACCAATTAGACACAATAAATATTCATTCTCTTACATTTTCCCTTTTACAAATAACTTTTCCATGTACTAGGGACCTAGTTTGAAGAAGAAAATTAAAAATGAGGCTACAATATTGTAGGCTATAATTTTCTACAACTATTCCTGTGTTATACAATTTTATTCGATAATACAGATCATTTCATAGACTTCGCATAATTTACGGAAAAACATGTCAAGTTTTATGTTATTCTACATGGCCCACTATTTATATATTTCTCCATATTTAGGGCATATAGACTGCACCTGATGTATGCCTCGAAAACAAAACACAATCGGCCCGACACTTCAGAGACCGGAGGTTAGTATTATGATTTTCCTTTAACTTAAAGTTTATACTTAGTTTTAACAAATCTTAAGGATGTTTTCTCACTTGTATATATAGAACCTTCTAGCACTCTGTTTCAGTGGTAAAAAACAGAGGTCACTTTTATGTGGAGGCCAGTTTTTTGACGAACGACAGTAACAAAGATTCTCAGATTTGTTTTAAAAAAACAAAAGTAAAAAAAGATGCAGAGCACTAGTATTTCTAATGATCAAAAACATAACTTTAGATCTCTATATTTTGCTTGAATTTTGTTATAAATTTCTATACTTTTCTTTTAGTGTTCCAGGTTCCTACACCTTTCTTCATCTGCACCTTAAGTTTCTATAACACCATCAATTGAGGGATTTAAGATGCACAAGGAAAAAAGTTTAGCAAAAAAAAAAAAATTCAAAGACCTATAGCAAAACTCAAATAACAGCAATCCAAAGTTGTGTTTGCTCACTTAATTATAAAAGGGTGCAATATTGTGCTCTCAAACATTTTAAAACAATACGATGTTACCCTAATCAAGATTAGGATGCCATGTGCTCTTCTGCAAATAGTTGAACACCAAAAAATGTTCTTTAATCCCATAAGAATATTATTGCCTTGGTCCACAATATAGGAAGTAACATAATATTTTTTGGTTGGAAAAAAAAAGTTTTGATAAATTGAGTCTCAAAATACTATCAAGACCAGGGCATGCTTTCAAGCTTAATAAACATTTACATAAATACTTAAAAATTGTTTAATAATAAAGTTCTCATATAGCAACTGGATTCAATCTTAGGATCTTGTGTATTGGTCAAATTCTTACTAAGTTGACTAATTGAAACACCTGTAACTTAACATTTTACAGCGAACAGAATAGTTGGGAATTCAAAAACCATTTCTATGACAAATGACAAATGGGCTTGAAGGTTGTTGCTTTACCAAAAATAGAAAGTCTGACAAAATACAGGGCCGAACCCTTTTAGTCATCCAAAAGATTAATATAAATTGATCATGAAGGAATACTAAAATAAATAATAAACTGAATATAAGAAGTTGGATTAAAGTCTTACTAGATTTGGACATAACAGAATCTATCCAACTAACCACACGAGTTTATACTACTAGAATCTAGACTATAGTACATAGCAAATGCACTAAAGAGAGAAGAGAAGAAAAGTAACAATGAATTAGAGTACTGTTTGTTTTGGGGTGTATTCTATCTTCAACCACTTCTCTCTATTTGTAGTGGAAGGAAGCCACATATGAAACGAAAAATTCAATAAATAATAATTTGCCTCATTATAAAGGGAATAAATTGATTGGAGTAGTCACCATTATTGTGGAGGATTAATTCTCTTTTTAGAATTCAAACAAAAATTATTTAAATTAATTTCAGATTTCGTTAACTCATCATTACTGAATTTATGTCACATCTCATTGATAGCTCAACAAGGGCATATTTTATGCAAATTCTAACAAATAATATGTTATCTAGTATTTTAAGTTCCAAAACACAGCCATGTGCCACAACTTATAAGGAGCCCTCTATGGCTCACGTATGTCATGCCTTCCCTTGCATCCTAAGTTCTGCCGCCTTTGAAAATGGTAAATTGATATGATGCGATCAAATTCTAGTAACATTTGGCACTTTCTTAATCATACATTAGCAAACTAGTAAAAACCACAAGTATAAAATGAAGTAAACCCATTAGTTCGTAACAAATCCTTTCTCTCACAAGCATTTGAGGCCAGTTCAAAACTTAGTTTACGAACATTTTCTCAAATTCTTAAATAAATCAATCATATAAAAACTCATACAAGTGATGCATAACTCTAACCATGCATTATATCTCCCTTCTAACTAGGTCTTACAGGCTAAATTCCTAGCCTAATGATACACCCAGCCAAAAGTGCTTATAGCTCACATAACTATACTATGAACTATACTCCTCTCTAAAAAAAGAAGTGCATTATGTCCCAATTCCCAAACAAGGGGAAAAGGCCCTCACTACAAAAGAACAGATTTTTGACGGCAAAGTCCAAAAGTCGCTGTTAAAACTTTTAGCGGTGAAAAGGTCGTCGCTATAACAATCGTTACTAATAGTTTTTGGCAGCAACAATATATACTTTTAGCGGCACCATTTTTTTTTTGGCTGCTAAAAGTATTTTTGGTAACAACAAATGCAGTCACTAAAAAGATTTTTAGTGGTGACAAATAACTTCTTTGAAGAAATAATAATTTATTTTATGCCACATTACTTTGCCATGTGTGTATCACATGATGCCACGTCACTTGCCAAATATACAACAAATAATGCCATGTCACTTGCCATCTTATACCACGTCATAGGCCATGTGTTCAACAGATGATGCCACATCACCTCGTCATCTCATGCAATGTCACATGCCACCTTAAGCCACCTCATGCGCCACATCACTATCACGCGTCATATCACATATTTGTTGTAAAATATGACAAGCTAAGGTTTGAACCCTCAACCTCTCCCACCTCTAACCCTTAAGCCTTCCTTCTTTATCAGTTAAACTGAAATGTACCTATAATTATCATATGCAAAATTAAATATATGTTATGTAACTACATACACATATATCAAACAATATATTATTAAAAAGATATACATATATTTTATTGTATTTTCAATTATTAACATGACAAAATGATTTATATGAATATTTAAATTATAATTTTAATAAAATATTATTTTCTACCAATTAGTATTATTTTCAAAAAAAAGGAATGGATTGAAGAAATAAAGGTAAAAATAAGGTGACCAAAAGGAATGGTGAATTACATTTTTGAGAGAGAGGGGCAATTTAATTCATGAAATTAGGAATCATAATTTATGAGATTTTTAAAGGAAGTAATGATTCTTACACTTATAGTAAATCTTAATGAGTTTTTTTCATGCTTATCATAAGGGATGACGGTGATTTGGTTCATTTTTATATTGATTTTTTTAATCTATTCCATTCCTTTCATTTCCAATAACCAAGCGGGACTGAGATTCTCAATTTTCTCTAACTAATCAAGCTCTAGGACCAATATAACCAAATTCCCATTTGTCCATAACTCCATTAACCATATCTAACTTATAGAATTATTTAAGTTCTTGATTTCCCCAAAATCTCAAATTCTAAATGTAAAGTTGTTCATCCAATTCGTCGAAATGACATAATTTCACTAGCTCTAATCAAAATTCTAAACCGATTAAACTCAAACTCAACTTTCAATACACACTACTAAGCCATAAAACCACAACTTCATTTGCATAAATGTCATTATCTAATTTAAACCACAATAATTAACCAAACCCTAACTCCAATATCTTTCCAAATAATAAAATTATGAAAATATAAATCAATTAAACTCTTGATCTAGTTGCGGTTAAATAGTGCTCACTCATTCTGTTCGTCCCTAGAGTGTTCTATCTTCCCGAGGAAAAGTCCAATCTAGCCCTGAGGATCTTTTATCCTATTACTCTCAATGTCTACCCATTTGGACCTATTTCCTAGCCCTAATTCAATCCCAATCTATCACTACTCGTAGTAAGTTCTTAAAATTAAAATTTGAACTTTACATAGGACACTTCTAACATGCATCATGCATATCAATAAAATTGAACTGTTTTCAAGATCTCATGAAAAATTGCCTTATTTTTTAATTGGAAGAATCACTTCTAGAGTCCTCGGGAGGAAAATAATTGCTCTGCAGGCCTAATACAATATGATTATGCTTTGGAGGCCCAAAGATGAAAGACCTCATATGTCATTAACTTCGAAGCTCAAAAGACTAAACTGTCCCTAGATGAAAATAGAACCCATCAGAAAATAGAAGATTCATACTACCCTTCTCTTCATTTTCACAACCTCATGATTTTCATCTTCAACCTTCATCATCTTCATCAGATTAAATATCGATGTCATTGTCAAACATGAGAGATTGTTTATAGACATCAATTTCTGATTAGAGTCAGAGATACTCGTACTTACAAAAGCATTCTTCGATTACTACCTCACATTTTAATTAGAAAATCATATCGTTTGAGTTAAATCATATCAAAGGTGGTGAAGCAGGGCCTAAAAAGAAAGGGATGAACTTTCTTCCATGTAGGAAGGCCAAGTGTATGTGAGCTAAGTGGCTCTCTTCTCCCTACACTTGGACCAAGCAACCCTCATCATCCTCTTCCATTTTCTCATTCGACGATTCGGAACCGCACACCTTCAAGAAGGTGGATGTGATTGGCAAAGACGACAACGACTCCACGATGATGAAGGACGATTGTGATGAGTTGGAATTGATTTTTAGTGAGTAAACCTCTCTGCTAGAGATTGGTCCTGACAATGAGACGGATCTTCTTGGGAGCATGTATTACCAAAAGGAAATTGCAGAAGATGCAAACTCTAATTTGTTACTGGGTAAAACATGCTTGGACATACTGTTCCCCTTACAGCGTCACGTATCCCCCAAAGCTCATTTCTAATCACACCATCCCCGTGTCATGGAAGATGATGACAATTAGGTAATTTATTTGCTTCTCTTAACTTGATGAAGATGAAGAAGGTTGAAGATGATGACAGTCGGGCAATTTCCACTTGCAAGAATCATGAGACGATGACGGAGGTCAATGATGAAAATCATCATGAGGTTGTGAAAATGAAGAGAAGGGCAGTATGGATCTTATGCTTTCTGATGGGTTCTAATTTCCAGATAAGGGCAATCAGTCTTTTAAACTTTGAAATTAATTGCATATGAGGCCTTTAAGGCTCCAAAACATTATCTGCAGATTGTATTGGGCCTGAAGTTACTTTCCTTCTAAGGGTCCTATATGCGATTTTCCCTTTTTAATTTTACCCTTATCCACAACTAGCACTTACAATTCCCCATGTGTCATTATTTGTGCACATTAACCAATATAAGGGTAAAAAAGAAACGGTGTTTCTTAAAATTATAAAATATTCTATATTTTGAAGCAATAATAATTTGTAAAAATAGTCCTACATTATTGTTCAAATGGAATATGAGGTGGGGATAAATGATTACTTTCTTCTTGCCTGACTCTCTACTTCAGCTCGTATATAGGCTCGTATAAAATTCTATGATGGCAAGGACCATTTCTTAATGAACTTTAGAGAATTAAAAGAATGAATTAAATAAAAATACTACCCCCAGGCCTATTTATAAGAAGTAATTTACAATTAAAGTTTCATATTATTACTTTAAATATAAGTTGTTATATAAATAGGCCTAAAGATAGTAAATTACAAGGATCAAAATAATTATTGAAGTTAATTACAAGGACAATGATTAACTTGCTCCTATATACTATTTGTATGTATATATAGATACAAACTTATCTGCCGACTCACACATTACATAGTTTTTTGGTTCAAGGGAGGGGAAGTAAGTGATTTTAATAGAAGAGAAGAAAAGGAAAGGATTTTAATGTTCCATTATTAAGTTTGGATGAAATGAAGGAGAAAGAGAGGATTTTCGATATTCCTCCAAACCTCCCATTTTAAAGGAAAGGATATTAACATAAAGGGGGGGGGGTGAAGGGCATGTTTGGCTTCTGTTTTTAAAAACTAAAAATATAAAAAAATTTGTTTGGGAAAGTAGTTTGGATTTAAATATTTTTTAAATTGTTCTCTTTTTTGTTTTTAAAAACAAAAAAAATATGAAAATAATTTACAGCTGTTTTTGTTTTCTTTTTTATTTTTAAAGTACACTAATTTGATTATTATAAATTATATTTAGTTATGACTAACCACTATCATAGGCTATCATCATTAATTAACTACCGACAATCATCACTGTTGACCTTTTTTAAACCTTAAAATTGTTTTTAAATTAACATAGTCAAATGAAGTTTCATTTGTTTTATGTTTTGAAAAATAATATTTAAAAATTTGTTTGCAAAATAATTTTTAAAAGCAAGAAACAGAACAAAGCCAAACACAAGCTCTCACTTTTGCGATCAAATTAGAAGAAGAGAGAAAAACCCTTCCCTCTCTAAATTCCCTAACCAAACAAAACGTACGTTAAAGAAAGGCATAAAACAACATTCATTCCACCATGCCAGTTTTTTAAATTATAAAAAAAAAGGGGCCTAACCTTCATTTTACTATGCAGGTCAAGTGGACATTGTACCCGGCCTAGGTGAAAGAATTGCCAAAAAGAGAGATAAGGTAATAATTTTATGCAATATTTAGAAGATACAAAAGTTATTTTCTGAAAAGAAAATGAAAAGTACCTATTCCATTTTCTATCAGATATATTTTTTATTTTTTTAAAAAAGTATTATTTTTTGTATTTCACAATGCAGTTAGTGTTTACTTTCTTTTTCAATGATATTATCTCGAAGTCATTTTTTGAGTTTTTGTTATGGGCACGTTCACATCTTTTAGGAAGTATATATATATATATAACAAATCCAATTTCCTCTCCTGCAACAAAGAAGACCAAGTTCTAGTTTTCTATATCAAAGGAATTTAGTATTTAGTTATCTTCTCTAATTAGAAAATTTTAATTATATAACTTTTGCATTAGCTCATAACCCAACATTATTCTATTCCATTGCTCCTGATCACATATAATTGTATAAAGAAATGGCACCACGCGCACACAAAGGCATAATTTTTTCTACGTGTGTATTAACTTAGCCAAATATTTGCAATATTTTGTAAGTATTTTTATCAATATTTATTTTTTTAATTAATTTATAAATATTTATTAGAATAACAACTTGAGGAGCCTCTAATATGCATGGTAGCCTGCGAAGTTCCACTTCTCAAAATATTACGTTTTAAGATCAACGTTGCGAGGTCTATATAAATTACTTATTTATAATGGGATTGATTAGCATCATGGTAGCGTAAATACTCACCCATTTTAGAAAGAATGTTTAACGAAAACTTTATGTATAGGAATTTGAAATGCAGATATAGTCACCGCTCAAAATATCAAAGTACAAATATGGAACAAAGTTTCCTTGTGAGCATATGGAAATAAACATTATTCTGATATTAATTAACATGATTTATAACATTATTTTTCGGTTAAAATGAAAAATTATATTTATAAAGTGAGCTCTTCATTTGCAGGTTAGAATCAAGTGCCAGATTTGTAATAAGTCAGGAGATGTTGAAGATGAAGGGGATCCTTTTGAACTGACTTTGGGTGAATATAAACATGGCAAAGGTACGTCTAGCTTTCGCCAGCCAGTATGATCTTCAGAACAATTTTCAAAATTGGGCTGAATTGAATTTGTTCCTCTTATTTTAAATTTATCCATTAATTTCTTTACGCAGCCATATATTAAATCTTTAAGGCCATTTAGGCCATTTCATAAGATAAGACCCCCCCAAAATGATTGCTTATGCCATTCTTTGGTTGGTCTTTGTGCGATCTTCCTTTGAATGCCAAAGCCCCTGAAATATTTATAACTTCGTGCCTAAAGAAAGCCATAAGTGCGGAAGAAGTTTGAATATTTTCTATAGTATTAAATCAATGTTTTTCCCTATTGAGAGCTAATTTGAATATCTCTTTTATAATATGCAATTAAATATATTTTTTAATCAAAAAAATTAAAATTTAGAATGATAGAAAACATAAGTACATAATAACTAGGGTTAATAAGGTACATTATTGTTTCTGAACTATTTGTTGAGGAACACCCAATGACTTAAACTATTTGTTGTAGTAATTTCATCCTAAAAGTAATTAAAGCATAGCATATTTACCCTTGACATTAAATATCTTAATTTTGACCATTAAAAACATTGACTAGGACAAAAGTCTAGCCAAAAAATGCCACCTATTATGCCAAGTGAATTAGAGTTAAGGTTCATTACATTTTTGGCCCTAAACTATTTTTGTGGAAAATCCAATGTCTGATGCACACAAAATGTTTCACCGCAAGTGTACGGGTCAAAGTGCAATATAGTAGTGCGTCAAGGTCGATCCCACAAGGAATCAAGCAAAATAGCAATTAGACAATAAAGTTCTCATTTTTGTTCACGTTAAGCAAAACCAACTAGAAGCGATTGATTAAAAAAAAAATTAAAAAGTGAAATGAATAAAATGCAATGAAATTTCCAATTCAACAACCACAAATGTCCAATGCAACCTAGAGTCACTAATCCCTTGCTAGCTTCATAGATCTTGCTTTTTACCCAATTAATTAATTTTAATGCTAATTTTGTTAATCTAGAGCATTAATGGCTATAAGGGTCTTTCAAACCTCAAATAACCCTCTCTCAAATTAATTATGTTATTTCTAACAAAATTCTTCAAGAGGCAACTTTAATTCCAACTCACTCTAATTTGATTATATGAGGCAATTAGGTATATTATTTCTATCCTAGTTACAAATTAGATCATAGTCTAATCTCATATTACTCAATCTAAAGGTCTGAATGAGATTCCCCTTTGTCAAGGAAAAACCCCAACACCCAAATTCATATTTAATGATGGCCAAACATTAAATAGACAAATTAATGCAAGATTGAGCAACCAAAATTAACATTAAGCATAACTAATGGGTAAAAACAAGCTCTAATCTACTAACAAGTTCATAGTTACTATAGGTCAAATGTGTTCAGCCACTAACAGCCATTAAAATAGCATGAACTAAAAATATTCAGCAAAAGATACATCAAAATGTAGAGAAAAGGGAGAAGAAAGCTTAGGAAGGATGATTTCTATCACAAATCACAAGACCCAAGCATTCCTCAAGCTTCTCCAACTCTTTCTCCACCTTAGAATGCTCCTTGGACGTGCAGCTGCTGATTGAAGATGAACTGGAACTGATAGGAGGTGCTTCTAGCCCTAAAATTTGTTAAGAGTCAAAACTGTGCGTTTCATTAAAATTGTGCTTTGCTGCAGCAAAATGCGTTTTTGCTGCAGCGAACATGACCTGTTCAGATTTTCTTTTTAGTTTTAATTTCTTTGACTTGGGCTCCGAAATTCTCTTGTTTGGGCCCCTAAATTGAGCTTCCCTACATGTATAAAATCCAGAATAAATGATAGAATTGGTCCACTAACTTTCAACTTATTTCTAAGCCCATTTTCACACACATTCATCTTTTCAATCATATTTTTGCTAACAAATTTTCAATAAATGACTTCCAATTATATTAAAAATCCTAATAAATTAAATAAAATATTGGAAGTCATCAATGTCCCAAACCATTTGCAATGTAGCAATTTTATCTCTAAAGTAATTAAAACATAACATATTTTTGAATGTCCTTGAACAGTTCAAGTGTATACCTTTTCTATCATTCTTCCTTATTTTTAATTAAAATACTACATTTAATTATGAATGTTCAAAAAGAAGAAGCCATCTAAGCTTTCATGATAAATTGTAGAGGATAGATAGAGAAACAATATGGGAGTACATTAATTATTAGGTGGGACCTCTTTCTCTCACCTTGCCATTCCCATCATCTTAAATTATTGCCAACTTATGCATTCCACTATCAATTAGCCGCACCTATCCATTCCCTCACTAGTGGTACACATGTTTTCTTACAATTAAAAGGTTATCTTCCCTCTCCAATTTGAAGCTGGTAGTTTGGACATGCTGAACTTATTTTTGGTTTGATTAAACTAAAAAAAGAAGGGCAGAAAAGGAATTTGCCTAAGTTATTTATAGATGTTCAGAAATATACTTTATTTTAATTACTTTAGGATGAAATTGCCGTACTACAAATAGTTTAGGACAATGAATATTTCTCAAGGAATAATTCAAGGGCAAAAATATAGCTCAACTTTGATCCACTTGGAATGACAAGTGGCATTTTCAATTAGACTCAAGTGCCAAACAGTATTTTTAACAATCAATTTTGGGGCATTTAACATGAAAAGCAACTATACAACATTTTAATTATTTTATAGGTGAAATTAGAATGACAAATAGTTTAAGATACTAAGTGCTCCTTGAAGAATAGTTCAAGAGCAAAAATGTACCTTAACCCTAATAACTATAGATCATTAAAAACGATGACAGCAAACTCTATCTCACTAAATGAAAATTAGCTACATGAATTATACAATGACATTGTTCAATAACAAACTATTTAGATATATCATTACTAATATATCATGTAATATTAAATAGTTTCATTGAGTGCTCTGTTTTTTTTTTTTTTTTAATCTTTCTTCACCTCTCTTCACCGCCTGTTCAATCATCCTCATCGATGCTTCCATACACCTTCAGTGCCATTTTGTATTATTGATCCCAAATACATGAACTTTGATACTTGTGATATGATCTTCAATAATTTTGACATCCATCCAAATCATTTATAACTCCTGCCTCCTGTTAAAATTATAGTGCATGTATTTCATCTTACTCTTATTCAAACCAAATCCTTTTACAATGCAAGTTTGGACTTCTTCTCTTGACTTTGCAATTAGGACTATATTATTTGCAAAAAGAGCTCGCACCTAGAGATTTCCTCGTGGATGTGCTTATTTAGAACTTTCCATATAACCATATTAAACAATTATAACGACTCACGGATGATTTCTTAGTGTAAACCAATCCTCATGAAAGTCCTTTGTCTCACATCTTAGTGTACTCATACTATTTGTTTCTCTCATTATTCAACACGGACACATTTCTTATGCTAGGATTTTAGTGTTTCGCTTGATTCTCGATTATAAACTCTTTTCATGTCAATGAAAAGCATATGTAGGTCTTTTTCTTTATCTTGATGCTTTTCCATCAACCCTTAAGAGATAAATAGCCTCTATTATACACCATCTTTCCATAAAGTCAAATTTGTTCTAAAAAATACATGTCTCGTTTCATAATCTATGCTCAATCATTATTTCCTATAATTTTATGGTATGGCACATAAGTTTTATTGCTCAATAGTTTTATCTTGTGTGTCTCTGTGTGCGCGCTATGACATTTCCCCCCTTAATTTAGCTTTTTCTATAGTCACTGTGATTTCGCTATCTTTTTTTTTCCCATTATATCTTTTACGTGGAAATCAAAACACCGTATCATATCACGCTCAGCTCTTGTTTTAATAAGATGCTTGGGTCTGCTTTAAAGTAAGCATAAGACAAGCATAATGACGATGCATTAATGCAAAGATAAAGAAAAATTGCTGCAGAATTTGACGAAGGCATCTATGGAATGAAAGTCGACGGAACTAGACAACTTAAGATCCCACCAGGACAAGGTCCTGGAAGTGGAAAAGACACTGGAAAAGTAAGTATTTCGAAACTTGAGTGCATTCATTTTGTTCATCTACTTTATAATTAAACTAGTTCCCATAATACTCTTCTGCTCCTAGTTATAAGTCATTTCTTTTAATATGTTTCACTGAAACTAAAAAAAAAAAATTAGAATTCATTAACTCTACCTAAAAAATTAATAAGTTATCTACTTTACTCCTATTAAATATACATAGTTTAACAACACATTTTATCTCACCAACATTCAATAAAGAGTAAAAGTATAAATTTGTGATGAAAATTTATTGACATAACTTATAAATATGAAAAAAAAAAATCTTCTTTGCTTATAAATAGGACCATAGGAAGAAGTATTTACTCTAATTTTTTTTTATAGGGAGTTACTCTAAATTTTTAAAAATCTATTGACTTAAATTATACTGAATTATGACCGATGAATCAAAACTATATAGAGTACATGATTAAATTGCTTTCTTTTTAATTTAACAATAATCCATGACCAAACTTTTTTTACCCAAACATTCTCTTGAATTTCATTAAAAAAAGAGGAAAGTCCTCGGAACAGTTACAAAGTCACAACGAAAACCAACCAGAAGCAGCAAAATAATCAAGAAATATCCACAGAAATGAACACAAAAACCAGAAAGAAACTAAACTGCAAAGAAACTAAAAAAATTCAATGTTGCTCAACCAACACATACACTCAACATAATTATTCTTGGATATCCTGCAATAAATAACATTTCCTGACTTAACACATGCAAATAGTTGATCTGCATTACATCAGTAAAATTTCCAGACCAGAAAACTGACATTCTTTTGAAACTTGGCCCAACATAATTATTCTAGACGTTTTTCGCGGACTTGACTAGCCTTTCATGATAACAAGATAATGGTTGCTTCATACTAATCCAAAGCTTAATGGCTAAGATTGAGACCGTTGTAAAGAACGAGAAGATAGAAAGGAGGCAAGGAAAAATATGAAAAACAAGAATAAAAAAAGAAATAAATAATAACAGAAAAGAAGGAGGGGAATTTTAGAGTACTATACATACAAGCCCATATGTAATGAAAACAAAAAAAAAAACACAAGTAAAATAGCTTATGATGAATTGTGAGGAAGTAGCTGGTTGGCTAGCTTAAGGTATTTTGATACGATGGCTAGCTTCAAGTACAACTATGAGTATGTTATTTTCCTGTCCGGGCTCAACTATAGTTGGCGATCGATGATATCATTATTACAGGGATAATATAAATTTTAATTCCTAAATTCTTTTGAGATTTAATACTTTAATTTTGACTTAATGTAATTTAGCCTTTGTAGTTTATTGAGTTAAGGAATTTTAGGAATTGAGTTATATCAAGTTAAAAAAATTATAAAAATTGAATTGTTTTGAGTTAAGAAAATACAAGAGTGATATTTGAAAACAAGTTCACGAATACAATTTTTTTTTTTTTTGGCTATCATAAAAAGAAATCTTTTTCACTGTTACTTCATTGCTCCACTTTCCTTCTTCTTGTTTTTTTTTTTTTTTAAAGAAGCTGCTCCCACTTTCCGTGTCTTTTTTTAGAAGGGATGATAATTTGTTGTTCATTTTTATATCTTGAATAAAATGATTCACATGTTCAGGGGGGTTTTAAGACTTATCGTGTGGCACTTCTTGCTATTTTCGATCCCCCGTCAAGTTCCGGAAACTAATCAATATCAAGGACAGCATTAGAGTTCGAAGCCATTTGGTTTTAAGCTTCCTTGTTGTTAATAATCACTATCAGTCATGCAGAGTTTAAGACCTTCCTGTGTTTATTCTGACAGAAGAATTTGGTTAGTATTAAACAAGAGATTTCAATTACAGTCTCCTGAACCAACAAGTGCTTGTTGTTATGATGAAATAAATACATTTTATGCTACACTTGCGACTGGCCTTTATTGTTAGCGAGATATGCGATTTGTGGATATGTAGATATATCTTCTTAGTTAATATTTTATTATTTTGTAATCAGGAACATAAACGATTAGATACTATAGGATTCGTATAGATATTCATGATAGATATAGGAAGATACTCTCTTTCTATATATATATTGTGATCTGAGTACATGAAAAGATGAATTATTCCCTTCCACATTTGACATGATATCAGAGCCAGGTTATGTAAATCCTCTCTGTATTGAATCTCGAACCATCAAATGAATCACCAAAACTACATAGCCATGATGACTTCTCTTCCGCAGCCTCTGTGAGCCCATCGTTGTTAACAAAAACAATGCTCCTTTCCCAATCACCATAACCCTTGACGAGACAAACCCATACACTCTGGGCACAACTGATGGAGATGTGAATTATAACACGCAACAATGGTAGACATTATAATGTCCTTCCCAACATTACCAAACTTATCCACTCATATTATACAAAGGTATTTAGAATATCTTGTATCTCTAAATTACTATTAAACACAAATAAGAAAAATATAAAAATCAATTCTTTAAAAATAGTTGGGATCCCAAAAATTATTTGAAAACAGTTCAAGTCATCCAAAAATATGTATTTATATATAATAGAAGCATATATGAATGCATAAATATCATATAATTGAAAATAGGGGCACAATAATCATTTTTGCCCAAAAGAGACCATATGCTGCAGCTTGTGCCACATGTGCCATTACATATCACACATAGAACCACTTGCATGCCTTTGTGTCTGTAAATGCCTCAAGAGGAGGGTTGAATTGGGCTAATTAAAAATTTAAATAAAATGCGGTAATAATAAGTGAGATAAAGGAACGGAAGCACCAATCACGAAAGTTGAAGGAATAGAGCTTGACATAAATGATTTATCCTTGTTCAACTCCTACCACTTGAGTCTACGTCCAGTCCCCAGGAATCTTCTAAGATTTCCAACTATATTATCAAGATCAATTCAGGCTCTTGGTTGCCATAGTACATAAACAGACATTTTAATAAGTCTGAAACTCTCTCCTTTACAAAGGTAATAATAAATCCCCTTAAGCTCCCTGAGCTTAAGTTCTTCTATTTTGAAGATATAAAACAGGGATAAATAGAGTACAAGAATGAACTACTACTGCTTTTAAACTCTCTTTTAGAGTAGATATATAATCAATGAAGCTCTCTATTAATAAATGATACACAGAAGATAGGTAAACTTTGATAATCAAAATAAATGCAGAATATTCTTGTTGTTCTCTTTGTTCCTCTTCTTCTTTAGGTTTCATAAATGAGTCTATTTATAGTTAAGATTTATAAATGATCTGTTAGACTTATAAATTTTTTCGTTGGAGGTCGCTTGTGATCTGTTTCCTTCTACCTTAGAGTTTCCTTGGATATCCGAGCTTCTTTGAAGTTCTCCAGTGGATTAGCCAATGTAATAGTGCTTTACGACAGAGACTTTCTCTTCTATATAGTAACGACTAAAAACATTAATGCTTCTAAAAAAGTGGTTGAAGCTTATACATTTTGATATAACAGAAAGAAAGCTCAGTGACCAAATCAATCATGAGCAACCAGAATAGCTTTATGGAAATCATTGTGTTAAGATATCATTTGGTAAGGATATAGAGTGAACACAATTGATTTTAGATGAAAAGAAGGATTAAAAAATGAGTTATGATGACCTTCAAAAGACATACAAAAAAAGTACAAAGATTCATAGTAGCACCGGTGTTACTATGATTTAGCACCAGTGTTATAGTCATGAGCAGCTACAGAAAGAAAGTTATAGCACAGGTGTTGTCCTTGTAGTATCGATATAATCCGATACTTAAAAGATGAAGATTTTTGATATTTTTGGAAGAATTAAAATATTTTTGAAAAGATTATTTAGCACCAGTGTTAAAAGGAAATAACCCCAAAGTAACAATTAATCAGATCTCTTCATAGGACAGAAGAAAGGACAGTACCGGTGTTGAGGTGTTAGCACAGGTGTTACACAAATTTAAATAAAACTTAGTACAGGTGTTAATCAAGTAATGTAGGTGTTGACATAATTCAACCAAGGATGTATGAAGAGTAAGACTAATGTTAAAAAGATAGTAACAGTGCAAGAAAAAAGGTTTGAAAAGAGAGACTCAATTGCACAAGTTTAACACTAGTGTTATAATGAGTAGGACTGGTATTATATGAACCATGAATTAATAGAATAGTGAAGATAAAAGAGGTAATATTGGTGTTAAGGCATCCAGTACCAATGTTATCAATACTTCAAAATATTTTTTAACAAGACAACTTCAAGTACAAAGAGTTATATTTAAGTCAAATACTTAACTAATAAGATAGCATACCTTCTATTCGTATAAACTCAGTCAATTTTAATGTTAACCCTATTATTTTAGTTAAGAAAGCCTAAAATGCATAAAACTTTTCATTATTTTATAATTATCAAAACCAGGGTTTAATAATGTTATGCGTCGCAATGTACTTGTCCATGACATAACTTCTAATGTGCACTATTTTTTTCATATGATATCTGATTAGAGTGATTCAAGTATCTATGTAAATCTTATTTCAAATGCTAACTAATGACATAAATTTCATCTCAATCCAATTTTTTTTAATATTTAGACACCCGGATGTACAATAACCATTTTATGACATTTTCAATCACCTGAACATCCCAAACCACAACCTTGTGTCATTAGCCTTTTTAAAGGCTTTGACCATATCCAATAAGACATTTTTCACTTGATTGAGCATATATGACATCAAAAACATAGACATAATCAAATTTGTCCACAAATACACCTTTCAAACACATAAGGGCCCCTTTTTCACATAATCACATAATTTCACATATATGGCCAAATTTCAAACATTTAAACATTTACCCACATAATCTTGCACTCGTACTAGTAACTTAGCATTCGCTATCACTTTTCGCATGAGTTCATGTCATTTCATCTCACAAGGCTAAGATACACACAATATTCACACAAGCGCAACACAATGCATAGATGTATGCATTCCTACGGTTACTTATAAACATATTATTATTACAACAAACAAGTTCAATACACACAACTTGAAGGGCTATCATAGAAGTCTTGCTACTCTTGGCCCAAGTCTCTTGCTTTGTTGCTACCAGTATCAGAACATGTAAAATAGTAACCATGTGGTGAGATAGAGTTCTGGTAACCAAAATAATTCAAAATTATCTATTAATACATAAAACCATAAACAAGTAAATAAAACATTATTATTCTCAATTTCATTATATATATATATATATATATATAGATATTTTCAAACATAATCATATTTGCATGAATGATCATCCTATTCAATAGAACCTCCATACCACCCCAACTGAACCCATAGGCTCTATTGGATCAATTTTGTATGCATTGATCTGAGCACACCTTCAGTGATAGAATCACTTTGCTAAAGGCATTCTGTCCCACTTACAAACTATGGATTCCCCTTATCTCACACACAATTGGGGTGTTGTTACTCTAACACTGCACCCTTTCGGGTATTGAGAGCTCAAATAATGTAATGACTGCTCGGATACCCCATAGTAACAGTCCCTCACATGTTGTCATACTAGATGTCCTATGGTATCAGCTTGATCATATGAATTTTTCACACTGCTTCCCCTAGGGTAAACTCTCACTTTCTATCATGATCATGCCTATTGTCCATAATAAACAATCATATGTTAACATATACCACAATTCACTTATTATTTTTCTTTTTTAAAACAACTCCCTTTCTTAAATTATCTTATAAGTAAAATCACTTTTTCATTCAAAATCATTCAAGTTTCAAAACATGCTAATAAACAATATCATATATTGTATTACTCAAATTTACTTATAGATAGTTAAACTAGCTAATAGACATAATGAATTATTCTAGTTATCTCAACCCTTCTGTTTCTAAAAAAAATTACCTGTGGTACATTTTCTTTCTTTTCTAATACTTTATCCAAACAAACACATGAGCCACATCTATGTACACAATTTAGCACTACAAGTCAATTACTAAATTTTTCTTATGTGAGTTTTCATTTGCTTTCATGTTATGTGAGTTTTCATTTTATTAGCCTTCTAAAAAAAGAGAAAAAATACCTAAAAATTCGTGCAAAAAAAAAAGTGTTAGTGTGTTAAAAAAATCCAAAAATTCAAAAAAAATTAAAATATATATATATTGATTGAGTTGTGACTGTAGAAAAAGACTATTCTTAAACTCCAAGTCACTAAGAGGTTGCCTAAAGAGAAAAGTCAACTTGGGAAGTAAGAAAGTCTTCTACTTTGACGACTTTCTTATTTTTAATTTTTGGTAGCACTTTTCAAATCTCTACTCTCCTATTTTGCTATTTGTGCTACTCTCCTATTCTATTTGGCTTCCTATTTTGTCTTTTAGTATTTGACTCTTTGATGTTCATTTCTTTTTTTCCTATTTTTGATTTTCACGTGTGGTTTTTCCTTTTACAAGCTTGATTTTATTTGAAAATTTTGCTTTCCTATTTGTTTCAAAATTTCAAAAAAAATTGCAAAAAAAAAATCATCTTTTCATCTTGTACTTGTTTTTTAGTTTCCTTAATTTAGAAGATATTCACTTAGTTATTTTTAGTTTCTTGATTTATGTTTGGTTTCACCATTAGATTCTATCCACAAGCTTAGTGAGTGGTAAAGGCAAGTGTGTTTTTCATCATTAAAAAAAGCCATTATTTTTTTGTGAAACATGAGTGACTTTATTTCTCTTGAGAGTAAACACGTGAGTTTGTGTGTGTAAGGATCCATTTTTATCTTATATGGTTTCTAGTGCTTCTGTGAATATGAGTAACAAGGATGAATCCCCTAGTGTTAATATGAACTCTATTTTAGAACTTATTAAAACACAGTTGCAGTAATTTCACTTGGAACTTAATCATAGGTTTCATGAGGAGGAT